GCATTTTATTTTTTGTACGTTATTATAACTACTACTGAGTAATAATCGTAACCGTGGAATGCAGCATGACCGGATTTTGCTACCGTGATCATTGACTACTAAGCGTTGAATTTGTGTTTGTTTTATTTTTCTGTTGATTGTACGGCAAACTGTGAATGTTTTCTAAAGAATGATATTTTTTGTATAACTTTCTAAACTGTCTGAAAACGGGTCATTTACTCAGTATTTAAAATAAAGGCTACAGTGACTAAGCGTCAGACTGTAATGTAAAATATTGTCAATAATCTATCACCAGAATGGAGCAAAAACAATGGCTTGTAACACAGTTACCGGTACTAGAACTTGAAGTGCTTGAAATAAGCGCCATTTGAAACAAAGTTGCTCATTGACAAATTAAACCACAAATAAGCGCCACCATGACATGAAAGTGTAACAAAGTGGCGCCTAATTGAAGACAAATACGGTAGTCATTTTTTTTTTTTTTTTTCGTGTCCTTGCAGCACCAGAAGTAGTTAAAAATGAAAAGTACACATTTAGTCCTGATTGGTGGGGTCTAGGCTGTCTTATCTATGAAATGATAGAAGGACGGGTAAGTATCTTAAAAGTTACATTATGCAATAGGTGATTTTCCGAACAATTGCGAGATCTCGCGAGATGCATGAAAGACGCGCGTCGAACGTCTGCTGCAAAAATCGAACGATTTGATTTTGAACTCGAATTTCTTTATTTCGTAGCTCACATCGACCGGCCGATCTTTGGCAGAGGAATATTGCATTCGAATATCCTCACTTAATCGAAATTGCCCATCATCAAATGTGGACAGCACATTATTAAGCATGGAAATGTCCCCGAAATACTTTCGCGTTTGTCGAATCCCACGCGATGTTTGACGTGACTTCGACGCTATGACCTTTGTTTGTCCTGTTTTTACGTTCGATTTCACACATAACGCGCGATTCTCGCAGTGTACGGAAAATGGTCTATTGCTTGGGTACTCACCTCTTTTCAGTTATTCTCATCGTGGCAAACCCGGGATTATTCAGATGGTATATTGTATCACACCTTGGTTGTCATCCATCTCGACTGGGCTAGGAAAGTTATTGATTGTTGATGACTATATGTCAGCTATCAATCACACATTAAACTATTAAAATTACTAAATATTGGGATGAAGAGTGTTGCATGAATTGGGCAAAAAAACACAAAATGCTTCACTTCTTGTCCTATGGGAAAATAGATGCAATGACACTTTTTTTTTTTGGGTACTATGATTATTCAATATCAGAGCAACATGTTCAATGTTTCAGATTTATTTAATTTTTTTTTTCAAATACAGAAAACAAACATTTTTCTTTTGTACTTTGCCTGTTCGCAAAATCGCAATAAAAACAAAAATTGTGAGGTGCAGGTTTCAAACTGACGTCCATGATGCTGCAAAGCAAAACCCTTTTTTTCCCCTTGGTAATTTCATGATTATTTGTTGAAGAGACGTAAAAGCTTCATTTTTATCTTAGCAAAATCTATGTTATACTGGTAAAAAAGGAATACACATGACGGCTATCTGAGGATACGGATACTGCACATGTTTATGTCGCATCGAGAAAACTGGTTATTTTTTTGATTCATCACAAATTCGTTACCAGCTTTTTGTATGCAATTATAATAAATATGAACTGTTGTGTTGCCTGGTTACCATTTTTTGCCAAAATCTTTATTCCTGTTTTTAGGCACCATTCAGGGCAAGGAAAGAAAAAGTCAAAAGAGAAGAGGTTGATAGGCGAGTCAAAGAAGACAAGGAAACCTATTCATCAAAATTTAGCAGTGAAGCACGGGAAATTTGTGAGAAAGTACGTTTGGATATTTTGACCTTTATTAATATATTTTTTGTTCACACAAATAAATATATCCAGGAATGTACAGGATGGGAGACATAAACAAATTGTAAAAGTGATTTTTAATGCCTTAATTTTTCCCATCAAGTTAAATGGACATATGCTCATCAACAATTGGTTGTCATTGGTTACGTGCCCAGATCTTAATTTTTGAAAAAGTACAGAAACAATTATGCATCTGTTTTTTGTAAAAAGGGTTCAGTTTAAAAGTTAACCATGACATTCCAAAAGTATAAGCAGAGAAATTCTGCCTGCCTGTTTTGGAAGAAGTCACTTAACATAACCATCTCTTGACTGTATCACTTGACAGTAAATCTACGCAAGTATGCGATTATTATTTAATACAGCCCTCATGTTTTCTGACACACAGCTTTTACAGAAAGATCCTAAAATGCGATTAGGATTCCGAGAAGGCCATGCGAGGGATGTGAAGTCAAATCCGTGGTTTAAGAATATTAACTTTAAGAGGCTTGATGCTGGTTTCTATGATCCTCCTTTTGTACCTGACGTAAGTATTAAAGAAGCACTCTGTTGTGAC